GAGCCAGGTGCTTCTTCCTGGTCTCCCATGTAGGTGCAGGGTCCAAGCACTTGGGCCATCCTCCACTGCCCTCCCGGGCCACAGCAGAGAGCTAGACTGGAAGAGGAACAACCGGGACAGAATCCGGCACCCCAACCGGGACTAGAACCCAGGGTGCCGGAGCTACAGGTGGAGAGTTAGCCAAGGAAGCTGCGGCTCCAGCCACATATTTAGTTTAAAAATTAGACTTGTTGAACTCTTTAGTGGAGCATTAAGCCTTTAACTATAATCTAAATTAAAAATATGTTCTCTCAAAGAAAAAACCATGGTTTCCCTATGTCAAGGTGACAGATACAACGTGCTATATTAACTTTTAGTATAATGCTGAGAAATTATTTAGAAAATAATGGCTAATGACAGTTGAGAACAGTCTGGACTTCTCTGTGAATGATTTTACAATACGTATGAAACCATACAAAACCTTTTATCCCATATTCCCACTTCTGGGAGTGCATATTAAAATAAATTTAAAATTCCAGAGAAAAATTTTCATGCACAGAGATGTTTATAAGTTCCAAATCAGATGAAGAAATTAATAGAACTATGTTCTACAAACTCAAAACAATGACTTAACAACTGTTTCACAGCACATTACTTAATAATGTGGTCACAGAACAAATCACAGAAGTCAGTAAACAAATATGTTGATGAGAAACCTTGAATAGGCAACAAATTTAAGACAATTATAGCAGTTGAGAGGGTAATGGATGTGCTTTTTCATCTCTTGACGATCAAATTTTGCAATGTGATCATATTCTTTGTACATGTAAGTATAAAGAAATATTTTTCCTAGAATCTAAGAACACTCAGAAATGGAATGAGTTTCATGAATCACCTCTTCAACTGTATCACACTTTTAATACATATTTGGTGAATATAAATTAGGGTTGGAGTAGGACATGAGTTGGTCTCTGATTTCTATCCCAGCCATCTTTCTCCTATAAAGCAATCTTTGCAAATTATTATGGCAGTGTTATTTTTAAAAACATTATCTACACTGTTTTCAAAAGTGAAAGTTTTATTTCTCTAAATGCTAGCCATCATTTTCAAATTCTAAATTTAGAAGTTGATATTTTGCTACATATAGGGTTTTGATTTAATTTGCTCAAGTTCACCTCATGGCCCCAAAAATGGATTGAATTCTTTTATACACATAATTCTAAAAAAACTCGCAGTAGTATTTTAGCCTTTTCTTTTTATATGGGAAGTGGCTCAAGCAAAGCACATCCAATAGGATCACATTTGCAATGGTTTTCCTGTTTACTGGGAGTTTTAAGTATTTTAGTGACCATCTGTGCAGACAAATTATGAGAAAGATACTGAGTCTAGCTCAAGTATTACAAATACCTAACTTGTGTATACTTTTCCACTTGTAAGGGGCACGTATGCGAACTCTAAAGTACTGTGAAAGCACAGTGGTGCTTAATTTAAGTACAGTGGTACTCATAGAGAGAGACAGAGTTTCCATCCATTGGTTAATTCCACATATGCCTTCAATACTTAGGGTTGGGCCTGGATGAGGTCAGGAGTTAGAAATCCAATCCAAAACTCCCACATGAGTGGCAGGGACTCAATGAGCATTTACCTTGGTACGCATGGTCATTAAAACCCTAAACAGGCTGGTGCCTGCGGTGCCAGCACCCCGAGTTCTAGTCCCGGATGGTACACCGGATTCTGTCCCCGTTGCTCCTCTTCCAGTCCAGCTCTCTGCTGTGGCCTGGGACTGCAGTGGAGGATGGCCCAGATCACTGGGCCCTGTACCCACATGGGAGACCAGGAGGAAGCACCTGGTTCCTGGCTTCAGATTGGCGCAGCATGCTGGCTGCAATGTGCCGGCCATAGCGGCCACTTGGGGAGTGAACCAACGGAAAAAGGAAGACCTTTCTTTCTGTCTCTCTCACTGTCTAACTCTGCCTGTCAAGAAAAAGAAAAAAAAAAAAACCTGAACAAAGAAAAATAACCAACTTTTATGTCAAATAAAAACACTTTTCAACTTAGAAAGCAAATCTGATTTAAGTGAATAAATCTATTTTATTTGACATAAAATATAATTTCTTCCATTAGTTCAGAGAACAAAATCTGTATGACAATATTGGTGTCATCTTTAGGCAACACATAAGCAGAGCACTGCATGTCATTCCACATACTTCACTCATTATGAAATCACAGTTCTGTAACTCATATGTTCAATAATAGTTGCAACTGGTGTACCACCAAGAAGGTAATGAAAGGCCGAGTGCTGTGGTACAGGCAGCTAAGCCACCACTCGGGATACCTGCCTCACGCACAGAGCAGTTACTCTGCTGCCCAGCTTCCTGCTAATACATCTGGGAGGCAGCAGGTGATGATCTAATCACTTGAGCCCCTGCCTCCCAAGTAGGAGACCTGGATGGAGCTGATGGCTCCAGGCTTCGGTCTGGGCCAGCCCAGTAACTGCAGGCATTTGGAGAGTGAACAAATAGATGGAAGATCTCTCTCTCCTCCCTCTCCATCTAAGTCATTCTGCTTTCAAATAAAAATAAAGACATCTTTAAAAAAGAGTTGATGAAGATGTTACATACATTTAAATGACCACGGAATTTATTAATATTAAATAACTAATTCTAAGGGTTAAACAGTATCTCTCTCAAAATCTATTTTTGCTGATGTCAATCAATAATCCATTAAAACATTCTGTATTATATCTTGGTTGTCCTTAATAAGCTTCCTATGTCATGAAAATGACAGTTAAAATAAAAGGAAAGATAGCATGAGCAAAATATCTCAATCTAGGGAAGAAAATTTTAAAACAAACTTCTTCATCCATGAAAAAGACAATAAATTACTTCATTCACAGTGTTATTACAGGAATTAAATAATTGTGTTGTGCTTAGCAGTATCCAGGCAAACGTATTGCTCAATAAATCACATGATTCGTTAATATTAACTGTCAAGGTATGATTTAAGAAGTGGTGACATTTCAAGCAAACTATTTTGATTTTTTAAATTTTTTTGAAGATAAGCCCTACTTATTTTATGTTTTTCCTCTTAAATACTTGAAAGAAAATTCTATTCAATGGTATAAAAATATAATTTTTGACTCAGACAAACAATATGTGGATGACACAATTTTAAGTATAATTGTTCATTTTTATGCACTGATAAACCTTAAGCTCTTAGAGCAATACCTGAAATACAGCAGGCTCTCAACAAACACTAGATTTTAAAGATTTTATTTATTTATTTGAGAGGTAGATTACAGACAGTGAGATAGAGAGAGAGAGAAAGAGAGAGAGAGAAAGGTCTGCTTTCTGCGGTTCACTCCCCAATTGGCGGCAACAGCCAGGAGCCTCTTCCTGGTCTCCCATGCCAGTCCAGGGGACTAAGCACTTGGGACTTCCTCTACTGCTTTCCCAGGCCACAGCAGAGAGCTGGATTGGAAGAGGGGCGGTGGGACTAGAACCGGCGCCCATATGGGATGCCAGCACTGCAGGTGGAGGATTAACCTAGTGCGCCACGGCACTGGCCCCAACAAATACTTCTGAATAAATACTTGTATGAAGATACTTTGAAAAGTTTGTGCAAAAACAGAATTAAAAGATATTTATTTTAGTGCAAAACCAGTGAAATTCTTCAATAGAAATATCTATTTTTTGGTGTAGTCAAAATGAGGATTTAAAAAAAAATTAAGTGTGGAGTGAGTGAGTGGTCTAGCAGTTAGCAAACCACTTGAAATCTCCCATCCTGCATCAGAATGCCTGGGTTCAATACCAGCTCTGAATGTGATTCTAACTTCGTGACTGCGCATCTTGGGAGGCAGCACATGATAGCCCAAGTAGCTGACTCTCTGCCACCCATGTGCAAGACCCAGATTAGACTTCTGGCTCCTGGCTTCAAGCTGATTCAGACCAAGCCAATGGTAGGCATTTGAGGAATGAATCAGAGGATGGGCATTCTGCTAGCAATAGCTCTCTCTCCTTCCTAAATATGTAAAATAATAAATAATAAAAATTATGGACTCTTTATTTTATGAATTTGAAAATATTTCCACTGTTAGAAATTCAAATCTCTCTCAAATATCCCTCTCAATGTGGCAATATCAGAAGAAACTATAACATTCCATGTTCTTGAATATGCACATCAGAGTCATTCATTTAAAAGTACACAAAAGCCTTAGGGAACAATGACTATACTTCAAACTTTGGGCCAGCATGGCCAGTTGTTGCACAGTTTCTGGGATATCATTCACACTGTTTACTCTGGTTTGAGCCATGCAAGCAAAAACAGACTGGTATGGTAACCCCAGTGGCATTAGCAAAGCTACAGATGGATGGCATCTGACCTCTGTCTTCAACACTGCTGATGGAATGCACAGGATTTAAGTCAGTACAATGGACTGAGGAATGGACAAAGGATAATGGGAGTTCAGGTCCAGAGAAATACATGGCATTTCTATGTATAACGCTGCCAGTAAGATGCTAAAAATCACTGAAGCTCTGAAAATGTATCATACTTCACCGTTTCTTAACTGGTATTTTCCTTATGCTATTTACACTTTAAGATTTATCTAATTTATGTGAAAGGCGGAGTTACAGAGAGAGAGAGAGAGAGAGAAAGAGAGAGAGATAATGAGAGAACCTCCATCCTCTCATTCACTTCCCAAATGGCTGCAATGGCCAGGGCCAGCCAGGTGGAAGTCAGGAAGCTAGAACTTCATCTGGGTCTCCCACAATGGTGTCAGAGGTCCAAGCACTTGGGCCATCTTCCACTGCTTTCCCAGGTGCATTAGCGGGGAGCTGGGGTTGCAAGTGGAATAGCCAGAGCAGTGCCACTGTTGCAGGAGGCAAGGTAACCAGATGGAGGCCGCATATTCACACATTCTTAAAAAACTAAATCTGCTAGCTCTCTTTGTTCTATAAAACAGATCATCCTATTACAACAAAATTTTTCTTGGAAGTTAATGTGAAACTTGAAATACTCACATCAAGATCATCCTTCGCGTTATAGTAGACAACTTCATTGCTCTACACAAAAAAAGAAGGAAAGAGTGTTTTAGAGTGAAAACAAAACATACTGAATCAAACACTGAATGCATTTTTCACACATTTTAAATAAACATTTCAGAGTATTTCTTTCTCAAGATAGTCCATAAAAATCTTTAGCCAATATTTGCTGAGGACATATTGAAATAGTCTATCAGTAGTATTAGAAAAGGAATATATTTTGCATTGGGAAACAGATCTCAGTATAGGTCTGAGGATTTTTTGAGAAAAAAATTGAATTTGTATTTCAAATGCAACACAGATATATACACAAAAATACACATTAAATAATAAACAGGATAACTTAAGAAGCTTGTGAGACAAATATCTTAATACTTTGTTAAAACATATGATTTTAAAAACATGATTTTAAGAACATAGATATATATATATGTACAGTGTTGAAATGATTATTTCAGAAATGTGCATCTATGTAATACTGGCAGAAATTTACTTGTGCAACTCATAAAAAAAGAAACAATTCAAACAAAAAATAATTAGATTATCTAACACGTGATTACCCTCATACTCTCACAAATTGATGAATTAGCACGGGCACTTTATCAAGAATTAATTTAAATGGACAACACTTCTTGTCATGTCAGTGTTGCTGCAATAGACCATAAAATGCATATATTATGGCCAGAAATTGTATTATAGAAGGATTACATAAATAAGACCAGTGTCTGCTGATACTAACTGATAGAATTAAAAAGGAGAGAATAATCCCACATGGGAAGCAGGATACACAGCAGACTCATAGAATGGCAGATGTCCTAAACAGCACTCGGGCCTCAGAATCAGCCCTTAAGGCATTCAGATCCGGCTAAAAAGCCCATGAGAGTATTTCAGGCATGGAAAGCCAAGACATTGTGGCCAAAAAAAACACCTAAATGAAAGATCTCTGTGACATCCCAGCGGAAAGGAGGAGGTACCTTTCTCTGAAGGGAGGAGAGAACTTTCACTTTGACAACCGCCTTGTCTAAATAAGATCAGAGCTGGTGATCTCAAGAGGCTTCCATAGCCTTAGCAGCTCATGACAAGAGCCTCGGGTGATTACTTATGTCATAAATAAGACTGTCAATTGTTAAATCAACAACAGGAGTCACTGTGCACTTACTCCCCATGTAGGATCTCTGTCCTTATTGTGTTGTACTTTGTGAATTAACATTATAACTAGTACTCAAACAGTACTTTATACTTTGTGTTTCTGTGGGGGTGCAAACTATTGAAATCTTTACTTAGTATATACTAAATTGATCTTCTGTATATAAAGAGAATTGAAAATGAATCTTGATGAAGAATGGGATGGGAAAGGGAGTAGGAGATGGGATGGTTGTGGGTGGGAGGGTGGTTATGGGGGAAAAAAGCTGCTATAATCCAAAAGTTGTACTTTGGAAATTTATATTTATTAAATAAAAGGTAAAAAAAAAAAAGGATAATGGAAAAGAAAGAATAAAAAAAAAAACTGTCAAGGAATTTAAAATTCCTGTTCTTTGAATGGAGTTTAGTTCTACAAAATGCAAAACTAAGATACTTGTGTGAATTGCCTTTTTCTTTTCCCTTCCTAAATTGACTGCAGATAGAGCCAGTTTTCCAGGTCTTCAATAGTAAGCTGAACACTGTGCCAATCAAAAGTCCACAGACACTATAAAATTTTGTAAAAACAAATAGCTAAATCTTTAGTCTTTTCACTTTAAAATATTTCAAATAATACAGAAAAGTATAAAGAAGAGTTCAAAGAGCTCTTTATGTTTAACAACTTCAACATTTTTCTATATTCATGTCATATATAAACATGACATATCTACACATACATTACTGTTTTTTAAAGCAGGGTAGCTATATTAAGATCACATTATGTGGAATTCATGACAAAATCACAAGATGAGGAAAGGAGGTCATATTATTGTATAAGCGGTATAATTCATTGAAGACAAAACATGTAATAACACATTTTCTCTTCTATGTAGAAGTTGTAGTAAGAAAAGTGTGTAGATGCCATATTATTTGGTACACAGATACTTACAAGTTTTTTGAAAACAAAAAAAAGCTTGAGAAACACTAACTTAGGGATTTTTTTTTTTACAAAAATGCCTTTTTTTTTTTTTTTTTTGACAGGCAGAGTGGACAGTGAGAGAGAGAGACAGAGAGAAAGGTCTTCCTTTGCCATTGGTTCACCCTCCAATGGCTTCTGCAGCCGGCGCGCTGTGGCCAGTGCACCGCGCTGATCTGATGGCAGGAGCCAGGTACTTCTCCTGGTCTCCCATGGAGTGCAGGGCCCAAGGACTTGGGCCATCCTCCACTGCACTCCCTGGCCACAGCAGAGAGCTGGCCTGGAAGAGGGGCAACCGGGACAGAATCCGGCGCCCTGACCGGGACTAGAACCCGGTGTGCCGGCGCCGCAAGGCGTAGGATTAGCCTAGTGAGCCGCAACGCCGGGCCTAAAATGTTATTTTAAAAACTGTTAGATCTTTGACAAATTAGCAGATATCACATAGGGGGAAAACCATTCCATGGTTATTAAAATTTTGAAAACAACAAGCAAAAATTAAAACTTTTCTCTTCCTGGGAAGACTTCACAGAACCTCGATGTGCAACTGTCCATTACAAATCTCCAAGAACAAAGCGTTATCTTTTTTTCCCCAAATTTACTTGCCACAGAAATCTGTCTCCTTTCTGTTTGAGAAACATGAGAATAAATATAATACACAGATCTTTATGAAAACTAAACAAACCAACAACTACAAATATTGGAATATATGACTCATAACTGTGAACAATACCCACGAGTTTGAATTTATTTCCCTTAAAATCAACAGAGCATTTTAAAAACTGCTTGATTTTTTTAAAAAAAAGTAAACAAAAGAATTTTAACATGCAAAAAAGTTCTAATTCCTGAAACATTCCAATAAGTTTTATAACAGAGTTAAAATACAGAATCACAACTCATCACATATATAAAGCAGGGCAATTTTCTGAATCCACCTGAGGACCAAAACTAATTACTAGTTTATTGATCTCACATTCAACTTTCAAATTTATACATAGGAGATAACTTTCAAGAAAGAATGTGTATTCCAGCAAAAGTTAAAAAGTACTGAATAAGTTTATCTTCATCTTACATTTTCTGCCATTTGCTTGCTTCTATTTACAGAATTGAAACATTTTGAAAACAATTTCAAGCAATTCAGTATCATCATTTTAACAGAGATTCATTAAATCCTTAAATGTGCATACTGCTGTGCAAAGAAAGGCAGGAAAGCAGCCAAGCAGCAAAGGTAAGAGCATCTACTCATACCCTTTAGACAAAATAATGGTTACAGCTTAATTCAATAATATATCCCACGTGCACAGGGTTACACTTGATCCTTGTACCAGGGCCCAAACAACACTGATTAGTCAACTTCCGTGTGTGACACTAGGTCCCATAACAAACGAGGAGCGCTTACTCAATGAAGATTAAGGGGACCTCAAATACTTTAAGAAAAAGATGCAGGTATGATAAACAAAGTTCCAGCATTAGCTCAAACTAAGTATTTTTTATTAAAGATGTATTTATTTATTCATAAGGCAGGGTAAGAGAGAGACTGAGAGGAGAAAGGGATCTTCCATCTGCTATTTCATGCCCCACATGGCCACAATGGGCAGGTGTGGGTCAGGCTAAAGTCAGGAGCCAAGAGCACCATTTTGGTCTCCCACATGGGAGGCCATGTACTTGGGCTGCCTTCTGCTGCCTTTCCTGGGTGCATTAGCAGGAAGCTGGGTCTGTAGGGGAGCAGCAGGGACTAAGCATTCCCATATGCATGCTGGTGTCACAAGTGGTAGCTTAATGCATTTGCACCACAACACTGGCCCCTCAAACTAAGTAATTTGATTTAAGATAAACTGTGAATAAAATTAAATGAAAAGAAAAAGAAATCCTAAAGTTCACTGGGAATTTCCAAATGTCTTCCCTTTTTTTATTGTGCTATATTTTACACAAAACTCTGCCACTTTGCTGTTCTTTCAGAAACTATATATTGCGTTGAAAATTATCAAATATGTATATCCCAAAGTTTGGATTTTATGCATTTGAACAGGCTTCTTGGATTTTGGATGACATACAAATCCCTAATGACTTTTTCAAATCAAAGTGAAGCAAATAAATTAGTCATACAATTACATTGCACGTCAATCATTCTTACACCTTCTTGTAACTGAGTATTTTGTATTTCTGCTCTCAAAGAGTTCTTCTTAATATAATGCTCATTTCTTACAAGGTCAAAATATAAAGGCAAAGCACAAAAATGTGACTTTTTATAGAAAACAACAAAATGATGATGCACCAAATCAAGTTCATGTGCTTATAAAAGAAGATAACAAAGATCATAGAAGAATATGCAAGAGTTGCTGTTCCATGCCTTAGACTAAAAAATGTGATACTTCTTTTGGCACAGCAGTATTTTTTTAATCTCACTTGAGTAAGTAGACTTTAACTTCTCAAACCCCCAATTTTTCATTGATAGTCTGCCATTTCACTATTAAATGATTTTCACCTAACAGAAAAACGCAGCTGGTAAATTTTCATAAGCGTAAATTCATACAGAGCATCGGGATCTGGAAAAACTATATTCAATCTGTCAATCCAGTACATTTCCAAGGCAAAATGTCATCTAAAACAATGCTTAACATTCATCTATCATTTAATTTACACAACTGTATGAAAACTTTTTTTTTTACTCTCAGTCCATCAAATTTTGTAAAGAAAATGGCAATGATTCATTTGTGTGTTTTTATAGTTTTACAGTTATTTGGCTAAGATGATTTTAGGTGAAACAGTAATTCTCTTCCATAACACTTCACTTGTAGCTGTCTTCTCTGCTCTATAAGTAGTGATGTCAAACTAAATCAGTTTTCATGAGAGGTATGCAAATCAATGAACTACCAAAATACATCCAAAAGCAGAATTAAGATAGGGAGCAATTCTCAGAAATAAAGGA